ACAGGATACTACAGAACCTTCTGGGGCATAGGCATGCGGTGCAGGGGAGAGAGTTGCCACATGAGTAAACCCAAGAAACCCAATACCCCTTAATTAAGGAATATACCTGAAATTATGGGATATATTATGATTTAAGGTATATTCCCGGTCCCTAATTAAGGGGTATTGGGCTCTCTGGGAATTGGGTTGTCCTTACAAAGAAGGATTATACGGGGATACTAGCACTTTGGCTCTGCTCCCCGCGCTAAATGTCTCTGATCCTCCAAGGAACACGCCGAAGGCCGAAATCTGCATCCCTCAAGTTAAGGTTTAGGGGTTTAGGGTTTAGGGTTGGTATAGCGTTATAGGGTTTAACATCCGTCTATCCCTCCGACACCCTCCGAAGGCACCATCCCGAACCCGGATCCAAAGATCCAGCCGCTGCCGCTGCCTTCCCTACAAGGGTTTAGGGTTTATAGGGTTTAGGGTTTAGGGTTTATAGGGTTTAGGGTTTAGGGTTTCTAGAACCCTAAACCGCCTTGCACAGGATCCTCTTGTTCTGGAAGCTTTTGTGCAGATGCTGCGCCACCAATCCTCGAGCTGAAGCGTGGGTTTAGGGTTTCCCAAAGGGTCCTAAGTACCTATATGGTAGAGTGTAGGGTTTCTGTATTAGGAATTACTATTATGATTTATTGAAGAATTCCCCATAACAGTACTTCGGACCCTTTGGGCTTCGACTCACAGACTCGGTCGAGGCTGGCATGGCGTTCGGTGATCTGAGCTTAGGGTTTTAGGGTTTATAAAGCTCCCAGAGAGCTCAATACCCTTTAATTAAAAGGAATATACCTTAAGTTATAGGGAGGTTAATATTATGATTTAAGGTATATTCCTTAACTAAGGGGTAATGAATCAAATGTTATAGGGAGCTCAATATTATGATTTAGGGTATATTCCTTAATTAAGGGGTATTGGGTTCTCTGGGTTGAATTGGGCGAAGAAGGCTGTAACTCGAGGATTGGAGATCCTGGACCCCGAAACCCTTAGCCCCATGAGCAGGGTTTAGGGTTTATTAGGGTTTAGGGTTTAGGGTCTAGGGTCTAGGGTTTAGGGTTTTGGGTCTAGGCCCAGGGAATAAAACTCACAGTTCGCTGGTCGTTGCTACTAAGAGTCAGCGGGCATCTCGGCCTTCAAGGCACTTTTGAGCTTAGGGTTTAGGGCTTGGGGTTTAGAATTCAAGTCTACGACCTCAGAGGCGTTGAGGTCGAGGGCTCGACTTCGTCACCCTCAAAAGTCAAGTTCGGAAGCCCTGAAATAACAAGACTCCCTAGGGCTCCAGTTACCTGCATAGTGGGTTACTAGCCGCAACATATTTGTAACCCAGTTACCCATTATCCCTGGCCATACTCACGGAACACCACTAGATCCTATGGCAGAGTTCTTGTTTTCTTCAGAACTGCCGCCCTGGATTTTCAAGGCCACTGAACCCCAAAGAAGACTCCTTCCTAAACCCTAGTCCCTAGTCCCTAATCCCTAAACCCTAATCCCTCAACCCTAAACCCTAATCCCTAAACTCTAAACCCTCTCCTTTCCAGGAGCCTCAGTAAATGTCTTCAGCCAAGATTCCTAGGGATACCCTCCGATAATCCTGGAGATCCTCGAGGAGCGAGCGGAACTCTCTGGTGTCGACCTGGTTTAGAGGGTTTAGGGTTTGGGGTTTAGGGGATTAGGGTTTAGAGGGTTTTGGGTTTAGAGGGTTTCGGGTTTAGGGCCTAGGTTTAGGGCTTAGGTTTAGGGCTTAGGGGATTAGGGGTTTCGGGATGTAGAGTTTATCGTTACCTCACTGATAGAGAGAGATCCGTCTTGAGGGGTTTTCCCCGTGGGGGTTCAGCGGTTAGGGCTGAAGATCTACATTGGGATTTAGGGTTGGGTGCGGGGCTTAATATCAAGAACCAAGTTCTTTTAACCTCATACTTCGCAATGACAAGATCGCATTGCAAGGTTGGTCAATGACAGCATGTAAATGTGAGACTGAGGGTAAGAACGTGGGCGAGTGAGAGGCACAGATTTTCAGCATTACCTTATGGAACCCTTCGTGAAACCTGCAGTACAGACCTCACAGGTAAGCCCAGCAGCCAAGGGCTGCGACTTGTCCGTCCACTCACCCTGGTAGGCAGTCAAGGGATGTGTTGTCTTAGCCCCTGGAGCCCCGATTATTTTACCGGTTCCAATAATATACTGGTTACTATGTTCTAGGAGGGCTTCGGCTCGCACACTTGCAAAGCAGGCACGGATCCAGGCGACGGGTCTCAGCGCGGGCTTAGGGTGTGAGGGTTTGGGGTCCTGGTTTGGTTTAGGGGCCTACTTGTTTCGGTGTGGCTTCGCGGCTTAGGATTGTATACCCATATCATCCCATATCTATTCGTGAGTATTTAACGGTATCTTGAGTAGTATTCTATAACCTATTTTGGGCCCTGGGTCTCGACTTTCAGTATGTTTTATGGACCTGCAGCTCTGTCGCTCTCCACCTGCCTCTGTTGGGGAGCGGTTTGCTGTGGGTTCTGAAGTCCCTAAGACCCTGCGTTTGGTCCCAACCCACTGGGTCGATGCTCTGGCTTTGCAGGGATGTTTGCTTGCTTTGCGGCACTGTTGAATTCAGGGCCACTTCGGGGGACAAAACAAAAAACACGGAGAAAGCGAATGGGAAAATGATGTCGCTATGGAATGGGCCCCTTTGGCTTCACAAAACACCTGAGCTCCTGACATAGCTGGACCTCAACCCTGAACCCTTTCACTCTCTCCCTCCCTCTCCCCTGAAACGCCAACATCTGATGCCAAACCCCAAACCCTTTTGCCAACTGGACTTCGGGACCAGCCCGATCACTGAATTATGATTTAGAGGCACCCCCCCCCCCTAAGGAGGGATGGCACATGGAGTTTGCTAGCAAGGGCTCTTGAGGATGCTTGGCTTGGAGCCAACGATTGAGCTCTGTTTGCCACCGTTGTGCCTAAGGTGTGCCCTGTTATCCTTGCTAGCCTTTAACAGGGCTTTGCAATCCTCGCGAACAAACCAAACTACGAAAGCTTGCCAGGCTCTACTAAGGCTTGCCAGCACTTGCTAATGCTTGGCAGGCCTTGCTATCCATTCATCAGTCTCTGTTGAAAGACTCTATTTGCTGTCCCCCCTTAGGGGGGGGTCCCCCTAAATCATGGTTCAAGTCAATCATTGCATCACGGCCCTGAGCCCAAAACCCTACAACAGCCAAACCCTCAAACTACACTCGAGTACCTTCCCTAAACCCTAAACCCTTAAACCCTTAAACCCTTAAGCCCTAAACCCTAAACCCCTAAGCCCTAAAACCCTGAACTTCATGCCAGCCTTGGCCAGGGCCTGAGGGAGCTTGTGCGAGATGATGCCTCGGCCCGCGTTCCAAGGTTCAGGCTTTTAAAGCTGTATCGAAACCCTACCACCCTCGAGCTTTCGGCGTTTAAAGGTTCAGTGCTTTAGGGCATCACGGCTTGCGGGTTTCAGGGCTCCAGGGCGATCAAAAAAGTTAAAGCACAAAAACCAAACAACAAAACAACAAAATCAAAACACAAACAACAACGCAGCAGGGTTGCATAAAAAAAACTAAGAATGAGACGTCAAACACAGATTAAACTAGGATCAAACAAAAAAATACACTTGTCGTAGTAGTCGGGTGGTAGTAGTAGTCGTCGTGGTCGTCGACCCCTATCCCGGGCTTTAGCGCCTCAGGGCTTTAGGGTTTAGAGATTCAGGGTTGCTCTTCGGGGCTTGGGCTTTAAGGACTAAACCGAAGAAAGGTTCGGGGCTCACAGTTATCAAGGCTGTAGGGATTAATCCGAATAAAGATGTAGGGATGTTTAGGGGGTTGGGATATTGGGGCTGCAGAGCTGAGGCTTCATGAAAGTTAGGGTTTAGGGCTTAGGGTTTTAGGTTTAGGGAACGAATTAGCCAACCAGGAGGTTAAATCAGCAGCTGGTGCGGCCTATGCCAAGCTACAACCATCACACCGCCTAATCAATGACCAAAGACTTTTTGTCATAACCCTGTATGGGCCCAACCATTACTAGCAATCAGTATAGGTACCGTTGTCGTTGTGTTTGCCACCGCTGGTTTAGGAGTATTCCGTATGGACCATCCTGAGACAAACAACGGAGCAGGGTTTAACATATGGCCTTAAAAATAAGAACAATAGTACTGATACCAATAGAAGTAACAATAATTTTACTAAAACATAAGGGTAACATTAATAATTCAAATGATCATACAGATACAAAATAATAATCATAACAATGAAGATGAATACAAATTGCAGGAGGGAGCCCTGATGAGGAATATTGGCAATATTTTTGCCCCATATATGCAGGGTGTCTCCTGATCAACTTCGCGATTAGTGGGTGGTTTTATACCCTCAACCCCAAATCCTAAAGCCCTCAATCACAAAATCCTAAACCCCTAAACCCTAAACCCTTAAATCCTAAACCCCTAAACCCCTAAACCCAAAATCCTAACCCCCTAAACCCTAAATCCTAAACCCTGGGCTCCGACGATCTGCTTGCACTCAGAATCGACATGCATCGACTCGCGCTTTCGGATCGGAAGGGGAGGACCCAGAGAGCCCAATACCCTTTAATTTAATTAAGGAATATACCTTAAATCATCGGGAGCTGAATATTATGATTTAAGGCATATTCCTTAATTAAGGGGTATTGGGTTCTCTGGGGAGGGGACGCTGCATCCTTGGGGCTTAGGCTTTAGAGTTTTTTCCCTTTTAAAGGGTTTAGGGTTTAGGGTTTAAGCTTTAGGGGCTTTGTTCCCTTTAGGGGTTTAGGGTTTTAGAACTTTGAAGAGCTACTTCGATGAGAAACTCTTTCAAGATCACTCAACATCGCTGATTACCATCTGCTGAGTTTATGCTACCTTTTTGGCAGCGGCTGTCCATGTCCTTCTAATTGTGTTGGTGCCCCGCGCCACAAGCCGCCACCTGCACCTGCCCATGCTACTCTGGAGGAAAGTCGGCATGGGAAAGCTTATCGCTATACCTGAAGAGCGGGTAGTAGCTCTTGTCGTGTGGCCAGGTGATTAGGCAAAGTGCAAGGTGAGCCAATGCCAATGCCGGAGTTAAAGACGCATAGCGTTCCAGCTTCTTGACGAGCAGCTGCATAGGTTTGGCCACGAAGCCGTGCAAAAGTGCTGCCACTGCGTAGATGATGAAGAGCTGCTGCATCGCAAAGAGGCTTCCCTCTGCGCGGTCTTTCACGCTGGCCCAGGAAGAAGTGAATTCGGGCGCATGCTTCTCAAAGAACATCAACACCCATTGATGAGAGACAACAATGCAGAAGTTCAAGTTGGCCAGGTAGCTGACCCAGGCTGCCGCCGACTCCGGTAGCTTGAGGTCGAGAAATGTAAAGGCCAGAAGCGAAAGCTGAAAGGGCAAGCCTGCGAGCATGTAAGGTAACTGCTGCCTGCAGTGAGACTTCCCGAAGCCGAGTGTCTCCCAAACAGGATGGCCCTCGATACACGTGCTCAGGCCCAGGGTTGCAGCGATAGCCGCAACCACGGGGGTCCTATGTGTGAGAGATCCGGAAGGCCCACGAAACCGTGCAAAAGCTCGGCAGGCACAGTGTGTGAACATGGCAGAGGGCAGCCGACAGTACCAGAGTGATTGATAGGGCTCCCACTGGACACACACTTGAGGCTGACGGTCTACATCCACACACATCCAGGCAAGATACGCCACTGTGGCGGCTGGGATTAAATGCGGTAACACCGACTCGATTGCATGCGCAGCTCCGAGGCACCACACGATCGTGTACTCCAGGCAAACCAACCTAGACTGACTCTTTAAGACTTCTCAATGATATCATGAAGCTTGTTCTAAAGCTCGGTAAGGGAAGCCAGAAAAAAACCCAAAGGCTTACGCAGCAACCACGTCGATGTCTGCCACGACGGGTTCGGCAAATCATCGGCAGGGAAGGCTGGTCGCACCCAGTCTTCAAAGTTACGCATCGTAACAGCCGCTAGAACCCATTCCGACCAGCCTTTCAAAGAAGCGCGTGGCTGTTCATGCTCGAAGAACAGTTTCTGTCCGCAATACCACGGGGACGCAGGACGAATGAACAAGCAGACACAATGTGTGAATGCTATGAGCGTGCTAACTTGGATTGCTACTTTCCGCACAATCTTCATCGCAAAAGACTGCGGTGTAAAGCTGCGAACTGACATCAAGCGGACCGTCACCACCACGAATATGTCCTCCAATCTTAGAATATCTGCTCCAGTCATATAGCAGATAGGCCAAGAGAAGGGAAAGGGCTGTCCCCGGTGGGTATCGACCACGATCCACGCTGCGAGGAGCCTCAAGATGTCGATCGCCACATTGGGAGCCTTCTCTTTGGATGCGGCTGCGCCACTGCTTCCACTCCAGAGGTAATAATACCTGCAGCCCCAAAACCTATATCCTTAACCTCGAAACCCCAAACCACGACCCTAAACCCACACCTCAAACCCGAAACTCCCTCAAAACCACAACACTAAACCCTAAACTCCCCTACTGTACTGATTGGAGCCGCAGCTACAGCCACGGGGCCAAAAACAGAGCGCAAACGCCGGTGCACAGAGCGAGAACACCAGGAGCTCGAGCTGGTAAAATGCAGGAGTCACCTTTCTTAGGGCTCAAAGGGTTTAGGGTGGCCCATATCATGAAACTTGACGAAAACAGAAAAGAAAGATAATAACAACAGTCATCTGATAGCGGTAATACTTGTGACCCCCTTACTCCCCAAGTTTTAAACACCATTTACACAGCTCTTGGGCTTGTAAAAAGCCCACGAGATCCATACTAAGACTACCCAGCGGCTTTCACACAGGTTGTAAACTACTCGTTTTGTTTTGAGCCTCTAGGTTCACGCAGCAAGCATGAGACCCTAAAGCCTAAACCCTCAATAATAGTTCTAAGGAACACCGAGCCTTCTCGAACCTGCTGAAAGGTGGCACCTCCAAGGATTACCGGCCCGTCGATGCGGCCGTCTGCCCGGAGAGGGATAAGAGTCACTGCCGCTTCTCCAAGGTTGCAACTAGCTGGCAGCGTGAGCACATAGGCGGCCTCGTGATGTTTGCGATCCATAGACCACCAGTCGAGCTTGACCAGGTAAAAGTTGCAGTCTATATCAGTCCAGCACGCCGCAGCTTCTTTCATCCGGGTGCGGAAATTGATGACCTTGTTGATGTCCTTCGGAGGCGGGGGAAAGATCTCTTTGCTGCTCCACATGGGCAGGAGCTGATACTTGGAGTCGTACAAGAAGCGCTTCAAGCAGGGGCTTTGCAGGTCAGCATGACTCACACCGCCAAGCGTCGCCGCGGGCATGGGAGCGCCTATTTGCCGAAACTGCCGTTTCGCCGCTTCCGTCATGTAGAGTGTGCCACTGAGATGAAAGAAGTCAGAGGTCGGGGAGCCTTTTAGCAGTTGCACATATATCCACTGTTCCGGGTGTGGCAGGTCCAAGCAGCACCTCAAGTATGAGTACTCCACTCCTCCATTGTCAAAGGGGGGGTCAAAGCAGCCTCCATCGGAAATCAATACTTTCAGGGCGTGACCGGTAGATTCGCAACAACCTTCATACGTGAAGGAGGACCCCTCTTCAAAACATGAAGCAGCGTGGTCGGATGACTGCGTTGCGGGCACATGTCCAGATTTAGATCTGGACGGTGATGCTTGAACTCTCTGGCAGCACCGATCGAAAGTGAACTCGGTGCTGAAGCAGCTGCTATCTTCGAGCTTACAGCAGAGATCCCTCACATCTTCAGGGACGCCGGACCAGCAGGGATCAACGTCGCCCTCGCAGCTCCAGAAGTGGCATGCTAACAAGATAGCCAATGTAAGCCCTCTCCCTAACATGCGAGAAGGCAGCGAGCTCAAGCTTTTTGAGATGTCAATCTGATGCCATGCAATCGCCCCCGCTACTCGGAGATTCCAGCGTGCAGCTGAAGAAGTTCATGACATCTTGTGGTAGAGCTACACACCGTTTCACAATCGAGACTGGCAACCGGCACTTCCCGGAACTTCAAGCACGAAATTCTCTCCTGAACCCGGCTGGGTTTCGCTATCAGGTGGGCCTTGTGCGAACCTGAACCACACACACACACACCCTAAACCCTAAACCCTAAATCCTAAACCCTAAACCCTGCAGTTTGGGCAAGTATCCCCAATATATATAAAGGTACTTTGGTTTCTTTCGGGTTATAAGCCCTAAACCCTAAGCAAGTATCATCAATATAAATGTACGCACTTAGGACCCTTCTGGTCTATAAGCCCTAAACCCCAAAACGTGCATTGCGTGCTTCCCAAGAGGGTGAAGCCTTTAGACGCCAGGAGGCGGAAGAGCTTCGGTGCTTCCAACCCAGAGAACCCAATACCCTTTAATTAAGGAATATAACTGGAATTATAGGGAGCTCAGTATTAGGATTTAAGGTATATTCCTTAACTAAGGGGTAATTATTGGGTTCTCTGGGAAACCCGCATTCGCATATGCGGGGTAGGGTTTAAGGGCTTTGGGGTTTCGGCACGCGTACTCGCACAGGACAGGCGCGGTTCTGGGATTTTGGGGGGTCGAGGGTCTAGGGTTTTAATTCTATAGTGTTCTCAACCCAAGTCACGGCTAATCCACACAGCCATCGTTTAGGACTGGAAGAGCAGAATCCCTACACCGCAAGCCGCAGCAAACCCTGTATCCAAGCATCGAGACAACCCCCGATTCCGACCTTAGAGCACAAAAGCCTGAAGACATGACTCCTTGGGGCTCTGGGTCATCCAAAAACCCTAAACCGCGAACTCAAAAGCTCTCCTCCCAAAAAGAGCCAGGTGTCCGTGGAGCATCAAGTAGTACAGAGCTGGAGGCAACCTGTGCGTTCAGGACCAAGGGAATTGGTGGTTCAGAATTTAGGGATTTGGGCTGTTGAGTGTCGGGTTTGGGGTTTAGGATTTAGGGATTTGGGGTTTTGGGCTCTGGATTTATGGATTTGGGCTTTTGGATTTAGAATTTGGGGTTTTGTGCTTTTGAGTATAGGGCTAAGGGTTTGGATTTAGCGAGTTGAGCTTTTGAATGTAAGGTTAAGGGGTTCAGAGATTAGGGATTTGGTCTGTTGAGTGTACGGTTCGGGGTGCAGGATTTATGGATTTGGGCTTTCGAGTGTAGGATTTGTGGTTCAGAATTTAGGGATTTGGGCTGTTGAGTGTAGGGTTTTGGGTTTTTGGAATTTCAGGACTTGGGCTTTTGAGTGTAGAGTCTGGAGTTTAGAATTCAGGGACTTCTGCTAGCTAGATTCATGGACTTGGGCTTTCGAGTGTAACTAGGGTTTGGAGTTTCGAAGTTCAGGATTAGGATTTGGGCTTTTGAGTGTAGGGTTTGTTGTTTTGGCTTTTGGATTTGGGGGTGTTGCTGCTTCGTTTGCTGCAGGTCTCCGGGCGCGTTAAGGTTAGGGTTGGTACACGTCTTCGCTGCAGCATGGCCCTAAACCCTAAACTCATGCTTTGGGGTTTGAACCCCTAGCGGCTCAGTACTTGCAAACCCGTAACATCAAAGGCCTGAGCAATTAGACTCGCGAGTAAGAGGGCAATTGAGTAGCTTCACTGGGAAACCCTCAGGAATGCCACTGCTATTTTTTTAATCATTCCGGCTGCAGGAAAAGCAGGGAAAAACCTCAATGTGAGTCTAGCGAAGATACTTGACCACCGAGACAACCACAGAACACCCAACACCCTCAGCCATACTTAGCGTATACCCCCACTTAACGTGAGGCCCGCATAACCCTACTCACGAAAAACCCTAAGCCCTCTCATAAACCCTTATCGACCCATATGGGGGTTTCCCAAAATAGAGGACCCTAACACAGTACCTTAAATAGTAGGATCCTTATTATAAGGACCCCAAAGGAGGGTACCCCTTATT